GCCCAGACTCTTTACATGACTAATGACTTCTCATCCTTTAAGTCTCAGCTCAAATGTCATTTCCACAGTAAGCATTCCCTCACTACTCTACCTAAAATAGGACAGCCACTCCCATCATTCTCTCAGCATCTTGTTTCCTTTATAGCACATCCACATAACTTTATGTGAATTAATTTGGTTTTTTTTTTATCTGTCAGGTCCACCAGACTGCAAGCTCTATGAGACCAGGAATGAACAGTATGTATTATTCACAACTATAATTCACAATGTCTAACACAATTCCTGGCATTTAAGTGCCTAATAAATGGCAATTAATATTTTTATTTCCCAAACATGCCACATCCTCACACACACCGCTCCCTCTATTGAGACGATCACCACTGCTGCCAATACCAGCGCCACTGCCACCACCATGGCCTCTACTCCCTCTGCCACCACCCTTACCCCTTACTCTCCTGTCTCAACTAAAACATTATCTTCTTGATGAAGCCTTCCTTCCTTGACCCTTTCTCGGAAGACAGTCTCTCCTTCACTTAGTCACCTATTCATCACTGGGTGCATCTCCACCATAGCAAGGATCTTACTATATTATACTTGGGTTTTTTGGTGGGGAGGGGGCTGGAGGGAGTTGGTTTTATTTTACATTTCTGTCTCACTACTACTTTGGAGAACCTTAAAGGGAAGAAAAGTCTTTTCATTTTGTGTCCCTAGTACTTCGCACACTACCGGGCACATAATACGGTACTAACTATGACAACAACAATAATGACCAACATTTACTGAGTGCTTAATACATGCTTGACACTCTTCTTAGTTCTACAGTAGGTGAGTAAATGAATCAACGGATCAATTTCGTGGTCACCAACCTCAAAGGGGTCACAGTCTGACAGGGACAGAAGACAGGTACACAGGCTAATGCAGGATAAACACCACCACAAGGCCGAATCAGCCGCCCTGACCTGTCCCCGTGCCTTCAAATCTTTGAGTATGCTTTTCTCCGAGTCCATAAATGTCAGCTTTCTTCAAACTCACTTAGAATACTTCCTTCGATTACTTACAATCCACTTCCTGCCCTTGGTGCCTGGAAACAATTTCTAGGATGTCACCACAAGAAATATTAAACTGCCACAGTTTCCTGCTGTGTGTCTGCATTATCAGTTACATGTTTCATATTAACCACACTCCAGTCCACTGGGATCCCTCAAACACTAAATAAGATTTAAACACACCTGTCGAAGATTGCCAGTGACCTCTGCTTTTATCCCTCTAGATAAACAAACGTCTGCTCAGGTTTAAGGGTTAGAAGCTTTCCAGGGTGCTACCTGCATACTGGCGACCTTTTCTTTCCTCTTGTCAAGTAGATGTTTGGTTTGAGGCAAGACAATGTTCTGTTATTAAAATGAACACGAACTAAACACTCTAGAAAAAAATAAATGGTCTGCCTAGACCAGGGCAATTTGGCTTTAAAACTTATAAAACAAAAACTCTTCCTCCTCAAGAGTTCAAGCAGCAAATTGTTCTTTCAAGTCTATGTACACTCAACTCAGAGCCTTAGCTAGGCTCTTAATTCAAATCCTAACATTTTTCTTAAATACATTCTATAAACTCTTCCTCAACAACCTCATGTGTTAGGTACTGGGTTTGACACAGGGAACCCAAAGACAAATACGACAGTCCCTGCTCTCAAGAAATATATGTAGGGAGCCAGCCCTGATGGCCTAGTGGTTCAAGTTCAGTGCTCTCACCACTTCGGCAGCCCGGGTTCGTTTCCTGGTCACGGAACACCACCACCCATCTGTCAGTTGCCATGCCATGGCGGCAGCTCACACAGAAGAACTAGAAGGACTTACAACTAGAATATACAACCACGCACTGGGGCTTCGGGGAGGGGAAAAAAAAAACAAGAGGAAGACTGGCAACAGCTAAAAGATGTTAGCTCAGGGCGAATCTTTCCCTGAAAAAAAAAAAGTATATGTTGGGCTTAGTATGGGACACAGACAAGGAACTGGATTTAGTTCTATGACAGTGATAAACACAAGGGGCCACAGAAAACACAAATGAGGGCCACCTGGCCTAGGCTGGGGAGGGGGTGGGGGTGGGGAACTGGCATCAAGGCAGGCTTCCTGGGGATGGCATCTGATCTTAGGCTATAAACTCCCATTCTCTCATTTGAAAAATGTGGTTAACAGTAGCTACATCATTGGACAGTTGTAAGGATTTGATGAAAGGGTTCCCATAAAGCATTACCACTGTTCCTGACACAGAGACTGTACTCACCCAGTCTGAGTTTGAAAGCAAGTCTGATCAAGCACTGCATCTCAACACCTGTGCCTAGTAACTCACCTGCTTTACTACTGATCATACAACAGACACCAGCTTCACAATCACACACAGTATTGTTTTTAATCAACTTTTATTTTTTAATGAGAATATTAAGCCCTGCTCTGCACGTTAAGAGTCTAATTCCTTGATCATCAACTTTCCTCTCCATTACCTGAACATACAGTTCTCTGACATTTCTAATATAAAATATACCAGTTTTCTTAATCTTTTGATATACAAGATGTAAAAGAAAACTAACAATTACTGAGTTTTTAATATGGGCCCAGCAGTCATGTTCATACTGCGTTTATTGCTCTTAATGACCCTGCAACATATAGTCTTCCCCATTTTACCCAGAGGGAAACTGAAGGTGAAAAAGGTACTTTGTGCAAAGTTTCATAGTCAGTAGACAAAAGAGCTGGAACCTGAACCCAGATCTGCTTCCTTATCGTCGGCCTGACTAGGCCACATAACATCAGAGATAAGCAAGAGAAAACACTGGCAGCCACAGAGCTCTCCTGCTCAGTGGGGCCCCAGACTGTCCTGCCCACGCCCTGAGACTGTCCTACACAATGGAGCCTGCACACTTAGATTTCACCTCAGCCAGGTGAACACCTTAAGCTAAGTCTGTTCTTTCCTCTTAGGATGGAACAGTCAGTAGTAACCAAAGCTCTGTTTCCTCCAACAACCAGGGCGGCACCTAAGTAGATGGTTTGCTGGCTACCTGTCAACCCCCATTCCCAGGGCAGGTAGAAGAGGCATAGTCAACAGTCACCATAAATCACAACTACTTTTCATAACTTCTCTCCCTTTCTCTTTCAGTTTCACAAGTAAAGCTAACATTTCCCAAGCCTAAGTTTTTATTATAGAGCAGTCTAGTTTCAAGACCAAGAAGGCTACTCTTTATACTAATTTCACGCTTAATGTGTTACTAAGTTCTCTTGCCCAAGTGCTCAGATATTATGGTGATGGATTCCACAAAACACACTTGAGAAATGTCTTTGTCAACCTGCAACCTTCAAGAGCAAGACCTGATGCTAGTCAACTGAACTTCCACTTGTTGGATTTTCACACTGGTGCTGACAGTGCCTGCCTCATATGAGGCAAGTTTCTGAACTTCTCGGTAACAAGAAAGGTAAGCATCCTCACAAGCATACTCTGCAACTCTAAGGTGGCTTTCATAAAGCATTTCTAAGTGCCATTGAAATCCAAGTTTACAATGCTTACTGGGAAGCAGGAGCTCAACTTGGAGTGCCTCTTTAATCCCAACGCTTCACAAACTACGTCTTTTTACCTCCCAAGCCTCTTAAGCTCCTATTTGGAGCATGCTTCTAACTTTTTCCCTTCATTTCTGCAAAAATTAAGAATTAACAGTGTGCTCATCCAACTCTTCCATTTTCATTATCATAAGCAAACTTTTCCAGTTTCATTTAGCAGATGTCTCAGGCTGCTGAGTACATATTAGATACATTTTGTGAACAGAAGCCTAAGTCAGTCAGGGGACTACAAGGCTGGGCAAAGATCACACTATATGGACATGGACCAAGCATGAGATGCAATATTTGAATAATTATTAGATTTCACCCAAAATGCCCTTCCCCTTTCAAAACTTCCCTAGTATAATTCTCAAAATGCTGAAATAAACACATTCCAGACTTTCTTGTAAGCAGGTTTAAAGTGTCCTAGGAAAGCTGTTTTACAGAAAAACCTATGCTGTCAACTTTGTTTTTAAGTGCCCTTAAACAATTCTATTACTCATAGAGAGAAAGTGAACATTTGTTAGTGATTAGAGATAAAGCATCTTGTGTTTCGGTGCTGAGGAGGGGAGAGGCCAAAAGAGGACCTGGCTGGGAGGGGAGATAGAGTCCAAAGCAACACACCCAAATTGCACCGCATAAAAGTTGCACTCTCCAAAGTCAACTTCCAGGTCTAGAAGTAGGGCAACAATGTTTCAATGAGTTCTGAAGCTAGATGTATCAACAATTTCCCCGGAAAACTAACCCCTCACCGGGGACTCCAAGTGAATGAATAAGTGAGGGAATTTGCCAGATTGAATTACAAAGCCTTTCCAACAATCATCAAGATCAGGTGCTCAATTACAGCACAGAGGTATCTGCCTTCAAGCCTTTGGCCCTTGCTGTGTGGAGACTTTCACAGATAAGAGGAAACAGGAGGAGAGAGAAAACGGCCTTCCTCCCCAGGCCATCCAGACCTTAAGTCCAGGAGTGGCCCCTCCCTTTGAGAACCTCACGCGACTTTTCTGGGGGCCGCAGGCCTTAAGCAGCCAGGCTGCAACCTCTCAAGACCTGCTCAACTCTCAGGGGCGCCCCAAACACACCCATTTGGGGAGTTGCTTCCGGAGATTTCTCCCCCTCCCCCCAACAGTTGTATGACCATTTTCAGAGGCTCTCAGTAACCCGGGGGAGGGGGCCACCTTGTAATCTCAGTCGCTCCCGCCCTCAGGTGAAGAGGGACACCTGACCACCGGAGCCCTTCCACCCCGCCCCCGCGCCTCCCTGGATCGCCATGGTAACCGTCCCCCTCCCCGCGTGACGCCGGCACGCGGGGCGCCCCTCGGGTCCCGGCAACAAGTCCCCCGCGCGGCCCGCGGCCTGCAGCCCTTGCCCGGCCTCGCCGCCCCGCGCCCGGCCCGGCTCCGCCCGGCCCGGCCCACTCACTTGATCCTGGAGCCCATGGTCCCCGGGCCTCCTCATGGGCCCGCGGGCCCCGCTCGGCGCTGCGCTGCCCGCCCGCCCTCGGCCGACCGGCCTCCCTCCGGCGCTCTCCCCGCCCCTTCCTCCCTTCCCTCAGGCTGGGCCCGCCCGCTCGAGGCTCGCTCCCTCGCCGCCGCCGCCTCCCGGGGTTAATGTACTCCCTCCAGCCCGGCGAACGCCATGGTCGCCGGCGCGCGTGCCCGGCGCGCGCCGCCCCCTCCGCCTCTCACATCACCGCCCCCTCCCGCCCGCGCCGCCGCCGCCGCCCGCGGGGGCTGCCGGGAAGTGTAGTCCGCTGGCGAGAGGTGAGGCCGGCTGAGGGCGGTGCGGGGGGGGAAGCGCGCGTCGCTCACTGGGCTCCTGGAGCGTCGTGCTTCGTGCGTTCCGGGTGCAGTCCCCTGAAGACCTCCACCGCACTGTTACCCTGTAGAAACCTCCACCTACAACCCCCCTGCAAAGGCCCACATCCCATAGACACCCCGAGCTCACCTGAAGAAAGCTTCACCCATTCCTCGTCTACGGAGTCCTCCCACCCAGTAGCTCTGGCCTATAGATAATCTGTGTCCCACTCAGACCTCCATGAAAACACAAGTTTTCCCTTTGGAAATCCCATACCTTCCAGTAAGTTCCTTAAGGGAGCCACAGACCCTCTTCTCTATCACATCATCCACTTCCCCAACATGGTCCTTCAAGGAGGTCCCTTCCTCTCCCCTTAGACCTTTAAGGAGACCTCACATACCCAAAGGAAAGCCACCTGGGGGCTTCATAGGACCCATTTAGTGGCTCTGCTCTGCCCTACCCTTGAGGACCTCTACCTCCCTTTATCAGCCCTTTTGGGGGCTCCAATACAGAAAGCTCATGTCACCATAACAGTCCGTGATAGAGATTAACTCAACGCAAATGAAGGTATTTGAGAACCAAGATCACCAGCCTGCTACCTACCTCTGCTCCCCCTTGGGGCTCACTTTGATGAACTCCCAAATATCATCCCCTCTATGCCTGGAGGAATCACAAAAGAAGCAATAATGACACTACCGTTAGCTACCATTCAATGTGTGGGTGAATGTCCTCTCTGAACCAGGCTGTGTATTGCCCCTGTATGGTTAGCACCAATCCTCACAATAATCTTCTGGGTTTATCCCCCCACTTCGGAAAGAGGAAAATGAGGCATGTGCTCATGGTTACATAACTAGCAACTGGTGGAGTGGAGGTTAGCATCCAGGCTGAATAATTCCAGACACATGTGACGTAATTATGCCTTAGATGGCACCTTTGGCCACAAGTCAGAAGACACTGTAGGTTCATGGTTCACTTTTTATTTTTTTGTTTTTTTGGTGAGGAAGATTGGCCCTGAGCTAACATCTTTGCCAATCTTCCTCTTTTTGCTTGAGGAAGATTGTCTCTGAGCTAACATGTTTGCCAGTCTTCCTCTATTTTGTACGTGGGATGCCTCTACAGCATGGCTTGACGAGCAGTGCATAGGTCTGCACCGGGGATCTGAACCTGGGAACCCTGGGCTGCCAAAGCGGAGCACTCGAACTTAACCACTACACCACCCAGCTGGCCCTTCATTGTTCACTTTTGAAATGAGGATTTTCTTTTCTTTCTTTCCTTCTTTCTTTTTTTTTTTTTTTTTTAGTTTTTATTTATTTTTTTTTCCCCCAAAGCCTCAGTAGATAGTTGTATGTCATAGCTGCACATCCTTCTAGTTGCTGTATGTGGGACGTGGCCTCAGCATGGCCAGAGAAGCGGTGCTCGCCCGGGATCCGAACCCCGGCTGCCAGCAGCGGAGGGTGCGCACTTAACCGCTAAGCCACAGGGCCGACCCTCTTTTTCTTTCATTTTGTTTCGTTTTGTATTATGATTTTCTGTTCTGAAATGTTATTCATCCCTTCTGCTATTTTAGCTCTCGTAAATTCATAGAGTGTCTCCGCACCCCACAGTCACTACAGTAATTAGTCCTAGGCCCCAACCAGCAGGGAGCAAAGAAAGCAAGAAGAATGCCTTCTTTTGGAGTTACATTCTGGGTAAAGATAATTTCTCTCTTTTACCTATGGCCTTAAGGTTGTTGAAGGCAAAGGGTGAACTTTTGTGAATTAAAACACAAAATTGAAAATGTCCAAACTGCCATTTTGGCTTCCAAGTCTTTTGCACCCAGACACCAACACCGACTTATAAACACCCCCAGGAGCAAAGCTTTGCTAGACAGGCAGGGCCTCTGTGGTGTTTATTCACCTTGTTTCCTATGAACCCTCTCCAAGGAATGGTTGTTATCAAGATCTTCCTTGGAATGAGCAGCCAATTCAAAAGCTCTGAGCAGGAGACTATAAATAAAACAAAGTTATTTGGTGGAGGGCAGAGCTGGCTGCTTTTCAAAGGAGGCTGTAGCCATCCTGGCCACAAAAATGTCTGGGTGCCTGCTGGGTGGTGTGTGTGTGTGTGTTGGAGGGGGAGACTGGAGATGGGAGTGGGAGGTTATGTATCTGTCCAGGTGGCCTCTGAGACTGCGTGGTGGTCTGGGGAGAGAACACTGAACTGGGAGTTAGAAGTCTGGCTTCTAATGCTAGTTGCACCACTGACTAGCAGAGAGATTTTAAGCAAATGATTAGACAATTATCCGCTTCAGTTTCCTCCTTGGTAAAATGGGTATAGAGGATAAGGAGGAGCTCACATCATAAGAGAGAGTGTAATGTAGGAGCTAAGAATGCAGGCTCTATAAAATGGAAATTATAATAGATCTATCTTCCTGAGTTGACATGAAAATTAAATGAGTTAATGACACTTATAAAGTACTCAAACAGTGACTAGCGTATAGTAAGCACTCAAAATTATCGGCGACTACTGTATACAAGACATTTAGCACAGTTTGGATTTTATTATTAATAGTAATAATCTTCATAGTAAATAGTCCTGTACTTGGATTCAGGAGACCTGAGTTCCCAACCCAGAACGTAATTGTTTACATCCCGAATCAGTTAGAATTCAGTTCAACTGTAAATGATAGAAGACTGAAATAACAGTGGCTGAAAAAAATAGTTTATTTCTTTTTCACGTAAGTTCTGGAGATGAACTTTCTAGAGCTGGTATGACAATTCCGTAAAGCATACTCTAAGATTTGAAGGCATGGGGACAGGACAGGGTAGCTGATTTGGCCTTGTGTTCGTGTTTATTCTGCATTAGCTTGTATACCTGTCCTCTGTCGCTGTCAGACTCTGACCTCTTTGAGGTTGGTGACCCAGAATTCTATCATACTGCTCCCCTACTGTCTAAATGCAGCTTCCACCTCATGGTCCAGGATGGCTGCTTGAACTCTAGCCATCTGATCTACAACCCAGCCAGCAGGAAGCAAGAAGGTCACGCCCCACCCCAACCCCTAATTTTTAAGTACAGTTCCCCGGAGTTGCTCACACCACTATCATTTACATTTCACTGGCCAGAACTTAGTTATACAACCACGTCTCCCTAGGAAATATAGCCTTTATTTCAGACAATCGTGTCTGAAGGTGGAGGGGGGGAGGTCATTTCCAGGGAAGAAGGGGAGGACAGATATTGCAAGACAGCCAACAGTCTCAACCAAGCCATGCTGGCTATGTGACCCTGGGCAAACCACTGTATTTCTCCGGGCCTCAGTTTCCCATACCCAAAGTAAGAGAATCGGGGCAGATAATCTCTCTACAAAGTCCTTTTCAGTTCTAAAATTCTCTAATTCAATGGTTTATTGTTTTATACTTCCTTTAAACCTAGGTGATTCTGATGTCGTTCAAATAAAAGGAGACCTCTCTGCCAAGTACATGGCATAATCAGTTGTTGGAAGTGAAACCTTCCAGTGATGAGAAGGAATTTAGGAACTTTGCCTTCTTGACTGTTGTCAAAATAGGCTAACTAAGCAAATCTAGCAGATAAAAAGTCCAACTGTGTGTGTGATACCACCCGCGCAGACACTTTGATGCTTCTCAGTTTCCAAGCTTACCCTCGCTCCTCTGTACCTGTTTGGTTTTTCTACTTAGGATTTCGGGGGCTGTTTCTTTTGAGGGGAGGACAGCAACCCCAGGGAGCTCTAATACCCCACTAATGATACGGTATGAAACAGCAGGACCGATGAGCCAGCGGTCTGTCGTTCCTGGTACACTTGTTGTGGTCGTAATTTTTTTTGATTGAGATATAATTTACATGCCGTAAAATTTGCCATTTTAATGTGTACAACTCAATGGTTGTTAATATAGTCCCAAAGTTGTACAACCATTGCCACTATCTAATTCTGGAACACTTTATCATCCCAAAAAGAATCCCCACACCCACAGGCAATCACTCACCTTTCTTGCCCTCCCCTTGGCTCCTCGCATACATGACTCTACTTTCTGTCTCTAGGGGTTTGCCTATCCTGGGTATTTCATACAAGCAAAATCATATAATAATGTGGCCTGTCTGGTTTCTCTCACTTAGCATAATGTTTTCAAAGTTCATCTATATTGTACCACCTATCAATACTTCATTCTTGTTTATGGCCAAATAATATTCTATTGTATGGATAGACCACATTTTGATTATCCACATTTTGTTGTTAATGGACATTTGGGTTGTTTCCACTTTTTGGCTATTGTGAATAATGCTACTATGAACATTTGTGTACAAGTTTTTGTGCAGAGAGGCATTTTTTTTTTTAATTCTCTTGGGTGTTGTGGGTATATTCTGCAGAAAGAGTCCACAGCTCACTTTTAGGGGTGCTGCTCCCATCACCCAAAAAAGGAGGGGTTATGTAATGAAGTAAGTGTGGTATATGCAGAGTCATACCAAGTTAAATAGGGTTTCTTTACTGCACTTCTCATGGACTTTCATGTAGCGGAGTGCATTGTGGATCTCCTAAAAGGAGACTGCAGGTAGTATAAACGAGCAGTTAAGAGAATGGACTCTTGGAGATGGCCCCATAGCCTAATGGTTACGTTCAGCACACTCCACTTGGGTGGCCCAGGTTCAGTACACCACTTGGTGGCGGCTGTGCTGTGGCAGTGACCCACATACAAAAAATAGAGGAAGATTGGCACAGATGTTAGCTCAGGGGGAATCTTCCTCAAGAAAAAAGAAGAAGATTGGCAATAGATGTTAGCTCAGGGCGCATCTTCCTCAACAACAGAAAAAAAGGGAACAGACTCTGGAATCAGGCAGACCCAAGTTGCTAGCTGAGTTAAGTTGGAGAAAGTTACTTAAGTTC